AGGGGTGAGGGGGAGGGGGAGGGGGAGGGGGAGGGGGGGGGGAGGTGGAGGGGGAGGAGGAGGAGAGGAGGAGGAGGAGGAGGAGGGGAGGGAGGAGGAGGAGGAGGAGGAAATTCTCGGGGGCAACATTTGTGGTCAGGGCCCGCTTGGCCTCTTCGTTCCCCTCTCTGCGGTCTTCCTGGTGCTGGCCTCTCGGGCCCCTCTTGGGACGCCTTGCGGCCCTCGTGGGGGCCTCCTGGGCCGCCTCGCGGCGATGCTGGGGGCCTCTTGGGCCGCAAGCATGATTCACTATCTAGCTCAGCGCAGACTTCCGACGTTGGCATCGCCTAGCTTTTCGTTCGCCTCTACAACGGCCCTCCGAGCGTGTCGGGAACATTGGACCTCTTGGACCTCTCTCGGGGGCCTCTTGGGCCGCCTGGGGCCCTTGAAGATCGGTTCCCCAGGCGGTGGGCCTGTGCAGTTCCCAGCCTCGCCTCTGGGCGTCCTCCGCAGGTTTCGGAACGCAGGCCGCCCTCAGCTGGGGGAGCTGTGGTCCTTGCACCCCCATCCGGAGGGCCATCGGCTTCGTCACCCACTTTTCCCAACCATCCTGTGGTGGTGGGTCCTCGTTTTGGAGAGACAGAGCCCCGTGTCCCCCTCCTCTCTCTCCCCCTCCTCCTTCCTCCACCTCCTTGTCTCTGCCCTTCGCATGTTTCTGTTTCGGCGCGCCCATCACACGTTTCGTGGCCCCGTAGGGTGCTCTACTGAAGGCCCCAGTGGCAGGGTCCGCATGCAGTTCCACCTCCATTTCGGCGCACCCCTCACACGTTTCGTGGGCCCATAGGGTGCTCCACCGGACGCCCCGGTGGCAGGGTCCGCATGCACTTACACCTCCATTTCGGCGCACCCCTCAAGTTTCGCGGCCCCACAGCGTGCTCTATCAAAGGTACCAGTGGCAGGGTCTGCATGCAGTTCCACCCCCAATTCGGCGCATCCCTCACAAGTTTCCTGGCCCCACAGGGTGCTCCACCGAAGGCCCCAGTTGCAGGGTCCGCATGCAGTTCCATTCGAAAACTCCCAGATGATCGCCCCGACTCGCCGCAACATTCCCAGATGCCCCAAAGCACGCCCCAACACGGCCTCAGAGGCCGGAAGGGCATCAGGAGACCTCCGAGACAGCCCAAGAGGCTTTCCAGATGGTACAAGAGGGTTCCAAAAACGCCCCCAGAAGGTTCCCATAGGGGAAATGGAAACAGGAACATCAAGTTCTCCGCCCTGACGAGTTTCTCATGCAGTTCAAGCAGACCCCCAAAGAGGCCCCCAAGAGGTCCCAAGAGGCTCCCAAGATGCGCCCCAGTCGGGCACAGGAGGTCACCCCGAAGAGGCCCCCCAGAGGCTCCGAAGGGCGGGGGGACGGCGGCAGGGGACATATAGGAAGTTGTATGCTTGTCGAGGGTTGGGGGGTGCTAGATCCTCAGCGCGCGCGAGGCGCGCGCGTGGTTCAAGTATTAGGTGTGTGTGTGTGTATATACATACGCACATACGGTAGGTTCGCGTCGTGTCGACTCGCGGCGACCCCAGCGCGGGCGTTCAAGGTTGAACGCCGCCGGCGACCCAGAGTCAACCTATATGAAACGATCGGGCGATCGACCAGCCGCCGATCGTTCAAGGTTGAACGATCCACGCGGCGTCAGAAACCAACGCTGGGGTCGTCACGACACGGACCTGCAGTACACACATAAGGGCTTCTCCCCCTGCCGCTGGCCCCCTCTCTCGGAAAAAAAGGGGCTATGCAGGAGCTGTGCTGTGAGGCCTGGGCGCCGTCGTGAAGCCGCGTCGGAACTACGAACGGGGGGCCACTTGCGTTCGGGTCCCCGTCTCGGGTCCCCGTCTCGGTCGCTCTTGGGGCCGTCTTGGGGCCCTCCTGGGCCGTCTCGGGGGTCTTTTGAGCCGCCCTGGGGCCCTCGAGAACCGTCTTGGGGCGCTTTTGAGAGACTCCTTGGGCAGCCCTGGGGCGGTCTTTGGGGGCCCTCTTGAGTCGTCTGAGAGCGTCGGACGCCCGAAAAGGCGAGCGCACCAACATCCAACAGCAACCTAAGGACAATCGCAGCTGTCGGCCTCGTGGGCCCTCTTTGAGGTGCTCTTGGAGCGCTCTTGGGGGTCTCTTGAGAGCCTCTTGGACCGTCTTGGGACCATCTTGTGCGCCGTGGAGCATTACTGAGCCATCTCGGAGGCCTCCTGTACCGTCCTGGGGGCCTGTAATGAAGGATTGTGGCATGGAAATCGCGGAGATTGCGCATCCGACAAAAGGTATATGATTTCGGGGACGCGAAGAACGCGATTTTACCAGGGATCGTGGTTTCGGGGACGCAACTGTTGCATTATTCATGAGAGTATTGCACTGGAGGCGCGAATACTTTGTATAGCCGCAGGAGCGCGAGCACAGGTGATGTGCGAGGGCTTATGGCCCGCGAGACACAAATACTGTGTACTTGACGAGGGATGATGGCCTCGAGGGCACGAATGTGGTGTAGTTTGCTATGGATTCTGGTTTCGGGGGCGCGAATCTTTAGTATTTGCACATGTTCCAGGACCCCCCAGAAATTCTGAGACCCCCCCCCCGAGGTGAAGGTAGCCAGGGCCCTTTTCGGCCCCCCCCTCGCGCGGATTTCAACAATTCACAGTAGGAAGAACTGTAACATCGGAGACTGGAAACTGGAACTGGAGCAGGGAGCAGCAAGCCTAATCGACGGAGCCTGATGGCTCCACAAGGGGGCTGGCGGACGTAATCATTTAAATTGTCTTGTACACATACAGATAAATATGAGTACTAGCCGGCCGCTCTGCGGTTGATCGGGAGTTTCTGTATATAAAAGAAGGTGCGTGCGCTTGTTGGCGAGGGTGAGGATGAGGTTCCTCCTCCTCCTCCTCCTCCTCCTCCTCCTCCTCCTCCTCCTCCTCCATCCTTCTCTTGCCTCCGTCTGTCCTCCTCCACCCCGCAGCTCCATCATCTTCTCCTCCTCCTCCTCCTCCTCCTCCTCCTCCTCCTCCTCCTCCTCCTCCTCCTCATTCCTCCTCTGGGCACCTCCCCCGGGGCGCGGATCCACCGGATCTGTCCGGATCTGTCCGGAAACGGTGCCGGAGGCCGCTCTGGGCTCCTCTGGGCACCTCCCCCGGGGCCGGTTTTGTGAGGATGTCTCAAGCGAGGGCGCCGGTTTGGGATTCGTCACCGGATCCAGCGGATCCACCGGATCCGTCCGGAAACGGTGCCGGAGGCCGCTCTGGGCTCCTGGGCACCTCCCCCGGGGCCGGTTTTGTGAGGATGTCTCAAGCGAGGGCGCCGGTTTGGGATTCGCCCACCGGATCCAGCGGATCTGTCCGGAAACGGTGCCGGAGGCCGCTCTGGGCTTCTCTGGGCACCTCCCCCGGGGCCGGTTTTGCGGGGATGTCTCAGGCGAGGGCGCCGGTTTGGGATTCGTCCCCGGATCCAGCGGATCCGTCCGGATCCGTCCGGAAACGGTGCCGGAGGCCGCTCTGGGCTCCTGTGGGCACCTCCCCCGGGGCCGGTTTTGCGGGGATGTCTCAGGCGAGGGCGCCGGTTTGGGATTCGTCGGATCCCGGATCCAGCGGATCCAGCGGATCCGTCCGGAAACGGTGCCGGAGGCCGCTCTGGGCTCCTCTGGGCATCCCCCCCGGGGCCCGTTTTGTGAGGATGTCTCAGGCGAGGGCGCCGGTTTGGGATTCGTCCCCGGATCCAGCGGATCCAGCGGATCCGTCCGGAAACGGTGCCGGAGGCCGCTCTGGGCTCCTCTGGGCACCCCCCCGGGGCCCGTTTTGCGGGGATGTCTCAGGCGAGGGCGCCGGTTTGGGATTCGTCCCCGGATCCAGCGGATCCAGCGGATCCGTCCGGAAACGGTGCCAGAGGCCGCTCTGGGCTCCTCTGGGCACCTCCCCCGGGGCCGGTTTTGCGGGGATGTCTCAGGCGAGGGCGCCGGTTTGGGATTCGTCCCCGGATCCAGCGGATCCGTCCGGATCCGTCCGGAAACGGTGCCGGAGGCCGCTCTGGACTCGTGCTCTTCGCGCCGGGGGTGAGGATGACGTGAGTTCCACAGAAACTCCCTCAAACCAACTCTGGTCTAACAAAGGAGTCGGAGGTGGAGACGAGCCTCCATATCGGCCCCCTCCCCACCATGGCTGCAGTCGAGCATCACGGGGAATCGGCCTGTCGCTCTGACTGCCCCACCCCGCCCCAACCTCAGTCCAGTGCACCGCGTGATGGAGAAGCGCCTCAACATGCGCTTCTGAACGGGCCGCCCCGGGAGCCGCGACGGGGCTCCCACGGCAGCGGCTGCGTGCAGGAGCCGAGGGTAAAAGGACGGGATCCGTTGGAGGCATCCATGCGCCGCCACCGTGCTTGGTCCAGGACTTTCCTGGGCGCTGTCATGGCAGGGTGCATTTCGATCCGATCGATCTGACTCGATATTGATTACAGCCGCCTCGTTCCGATACGGTTTCCATATTCCGACGATCCGATGCGCTCCGATGTTTGTATTGCATTGTTGTGCACCCTGGTGCGGTCGAGCCCGTTCGATTCCGACTCCGTGCCAGTGCGGCTAGATCCGACGCATGTTCCGGTTCGATCAGGCCATCCGATTCTAAGGTGACTGATTTTTCCTTCCCCTCCCGGCCGAGACTGGGAGGGCCTATGCACCAGGGTGGCCTTGGCCAGGGACTGGTGGTGAGGCTGGGGCTGCCCCCCCGCACGGGGCAGCGGGGCCGATCGACTTCGGGCATGCACTGATCTTGGCGCGGCGGCGATGTTTCGAGACGCATCTGTGTTCCGCCACCGTGCCCTGAGACACGAGATGGAGTGTCCTCAGGTCCTTCGCCTAATCCTTTAAGCCGCAGTCCTCAATCCTCAAGATTCTTCGCAGGGTCCAGACCCGAAACTGCTGAATCTTATGGGCTTGCCGCGGCCTCTCGCGTGACTTTTCCAGAGCCAAGAAGGTTCGAAGATGGGCCAAGAGGCCCCCAAGATGGCCTCCGCAGCCATTTTGGCTCAAGTTGGGGCTCAAGCGCCTTCGGGTCAAGATCTGTTGCGCGTGCCCTCTGATCTACTTAATTGCACCGATTCGGCGCTTATCATTGCAAACAATGGACTCGTTCGCGAGGCGTGCTTCGTCTCAGTGCTTTCACAGCGATGAGTATTTTGAGACCTACACGAACCCTCACCCATTCGACCAAGCATCAGGTGGCATGTGTACGTCGTTGCCCAGTTGGGGCTTTCTGCCCACCATGCAGCCGGTCACCATGCAGTCGCTGCTTGCCCGGCAGGAAAACCACCCCATGTTGCAGTCGAGCGGCGGCAAATCGTGGAATACTGTTGACGAGTACGACGACCCACGCGGGCGTCGGCGGGCAGAAATCCAAAGCAGCAACCCATCCGAACACGCGCAGGATTCAGCCCAGTTGGGCCCTGGCGGCGCCCCCTCGGCGGCCGATGCGCAGCTGCCATCTCGGCCTTGAGGCGTTCTGCTGCTCCTTGGCCAGTCGCTGCCGCGCAGGCAGGAAGACCACCCCATTTTGCAGTCGAGCGGCGGCGAGTCATGGAAGACCTTTGACGAGTTCGACCACCCGCGCGGGGGCGCTCTGCCACCCCTGGCGCTCCAGCAATCACCACGCTCATAATCCGCAACATCCCGATGTCTGTGACGCAGCGTGACCTGCTGGACCTCATCGACAGGGCTGGCTTCGAGAACCGCTACGACTACGCCTACATGCCGACAACTTTTGATAGTGGCACCACTAGAGGAATCTCATTTGTGAATTTTGCCACCTCAAGCGACGCCCGCGAGTTTTCCGTCTTGTGGAACGGATCGCGACTGACTGGAGTTGCCGGTGCTGGAACCAGCGGGACCGTGATCGAGGTCACCGCGTCGGCGACGCAGGGCTACTCGGAGAACGCCGGGATAAGGAAGGCGAGCCGGCTGCGCCGCATCAGGAACCCCAAGTTTCACGTTTCACCCCTTCATCGCCCCGAGGCCAGCTGCCTGATGAACGCGCGGTTGACATTTTCATTGGATGTGCGGGGTGTGGGGGATGGGGGAGCGCGCGGGAGGCCAAGGAGGACGAGGACGAGGACGCGGGCACCGCGCAGCGCGCCCCGGAGCGCGCCAGTTGGCGGCGACGGGCCGTCGCCACCACGAGCTGCCCCCCTAGCGGGCAGCCCAGCCAGGCCGCGCGATCAAGGCGGGCCATGTGCAGAGAGAGATGTTTTTAGTGCGCTCGCTTGAATCTCGAACTTGCACGCAGCCGTGAATCATCATCGGCGGCAGAGCTTCACGTAGTTTCGCATTTGCTAGATCAGTATTCAGTATGAGAAGTTTCAATGTTTCTAAATGGGAAGCTTCCCTGGCTTCATAAGCCCGAGGTGCTAATTTCGAGGGCCCGGGTGCCTGATGCATCCGCGACCGATTGGAAATACCTGGTCGGCCGGCCGTGCCCTTCCCACTGACCTTGTTTTGCTCAACTTATTATCATCGAGGGTTTTTTTCATGTCAGTCTTTGCTCCACGCTTTCGTGCGGGGGCTGTGCCCATTGCCTTCCATTGTTCATTGAGTACCCTCCCGCTCCAGCGGCCGTGCGTTCAGTGCGTGGCACCGAAATCTTCGGAGACCAGCCAGCGCTCGGCTGCAGCAGGCGTGTTTTTGTAATTCTGCCCACGTCGCAGGGCCGAACACAGGCACTCGAAGCCTTGCACCACTTCTGGGCGCGTGGCACTCGCTGGCGCCTTCACACTCCTCCACTCCTGGCCCCCCCCCCCAACGAAAAAAACAAAGAGGCCCCCAAGATGGCCTCAAGACGGGCCAAGATGCCCCTCAGACGAGGCGTTCAAGAGGCCTCCCAAGAGGGCCCCAAGAGGCAACAATCATGAATTTCCTTTTTTAGGTTTTTCCCTACCTAGGCTCTGCCTAGAGGGTTCTTACTCTCTTAGCTTAAAGGGGCCGGGCAGTGTAAAGCGCCCCGGGCGGTTCCCCCAGTCCCCGCCCCGCGGTTCCCCCAGTTGCGCCCCCTGGGTTCACCCAGCTTGGCTTGAATAAGCTTTGCTTAGCTTAGCTTAGCTTAGCTTATCTCATCTTAGCTTAGCTTAGCTTAGCTTGGCTTAGCTTAGCTTAGCTCAGCTTATCTCATGTTAGCTTAGCTTAGCTTAGCTTACCTTACCTTTTTCTCATATTAGCTTAACTTAGCTTAGCTTTGCCTAGCCTAGTTTAGCTCAGCTTTAGCTTAGCTTTACATTTAGCTTTAGCTTTAGATTTAGCTTAGCTTCAGTTTTGCTTTAGCTTAGAGTTAGCTTCGCTTTAGCTTAGCTTTAGCTTAGCTTTAATTTTGACTTAGCTTAGCTTTGGTTTATATTTAGCTTAGCTTTAGCTTAGCTTTAGCTTTAGCTTTAACTTCAGCTTTAGCTTTAACTTCAGCTTTAGCCTTAACTTTATCTTAGCTTTAACTTAGCTTTAGCTCAGATTTGAATTAGCGTTAGCCTAGCTTTATTTTAGTTTTAGCTTAGCTTTAGCTTAACTTTAGCTTAGCTTCAGCTTAGCTTTAGCTGAGCTTTCAGTAGTTTTAGCTTAGCTTTAGCTTAGCTTTAGCTTAGCTTTACCTCCGCTTTACCTCCGCTTTACCTCAACTTTAGCTTAGATTTAGCTTTGCTTTAGCTTAGTTTTAGCTTAGCTTTAGCTTCGATTTAGTTTAACTTTAGCTTAGCTTTAGCTTAGCTCTAGCTTAGCTTTAGCTTAGCTTTACTGTTCCTACTCTTGCTGCTTTCCTAGGGGCTCCAACTCCTAGGTAGGGTCGCACTGGGATAATCAAACATTTGGGCGTTATCGCCTTTTCGGCTTCCCGACGCTCCAAGACGGCCCACGGGACATCGGGGGACCCCGCATCGAACAAATCAGTACCCCCCCCCGTTCCCCGCCCGTTCGCCAGCCCGCCCCCCACCCGTTCGATCGTTCTTCCGCCGCCCGCTCACCCGCTCGTCCGCTCCTCCCGTCCTCTCGCTCAGGAGACGACCTAAACGGTGGCTTAGCGATCTCGTGGGCCGTTTTCGTTCCCATTTCGTTTTGCAACAAGCAATGCGGATTGAAGACAACACGCGGGAACACGAAAACAACACGAAAACGAGCATCACTGTTCAGGTCGAGCCCTGCTCTCGCTCGCCCGCTCCGCGGCCCGCCGCGCGGCCCACAGGGGGAAGGGGGGAAGGGGGGGCCGCCCGCGCCAGCGGGGCGGCCGGCCAGCAGCGCGGCCCTCGCGTCGAGCCCGGCGGCCCATGACCCGGCGCGCGGGGAGGCGCGCGGGGGTCGCGCGCGCCCCGTGCCCAGTTCCCTCCACCCTCCACCCCGTTGCCCTTGCCCCTCCGTTCGGCTCCTCCTCCCTCCTTCCCCTTCCTCCTCCCCCGTTTCCTCCTCCTCCTCCTCCTCCTCCTCCTCCTCCTCCTCCTCCTCCTCCTCCGTCTCCTCCTCCCTTCCCTCCCCGTCCTTTCCTACCCCCTCCTCCATCATCCCTTTCCTTTCCCTCCTCCTTTCCCTACTCCTTCTCGCCCTCCTCCTCATTCTCCTCCCTCCCGCATCTCCCCCTCTCTCTCCTCCTTGTCCTTCCGTTCCTCCCGAATCCCCCCGTGTCTCGTTTGTGCGGGCGCTGGCTGGTGGTACCACGATGTCCTCCCCCCTTTACCCGGCCTTCACCTCCGCCTTCTGCCTTCCCCTCCCCCATCGCCCCCGTCCTCTTCCACTCCCCCTCCTGCCTTCCCCTTCCACCCTCCTCCCTGTCCTCCCCCCAAGACTTCCAGCGTCTCGAAACATCCAGGCGGAGGCTTGGATGTTTCGAGATGCTGGAGGTCTGGCGTCTGTGGCAGGGAAAGATGAGGGATAAGGAGTCGGGGCGGGGTTCAGGTATAAGGGAAGCTTCATATTGAGGAAATCACGACCTCGGATTTCCAGGTCCCCATTTTTCAAGAAGGGGGGAAGGGGGGGATGGGGATGGAGGGAGGCCAATGCAGCAGGGGGGGAAGAAAGCTTCTCCCTCCTGCCTCATCTGTGCCCTCCTCAAGACGAAGGCAGGATGAGGATACATTCTGATAGGAGTAAATCAGGAGTCTCTGAGAGCTCTCGGGTCTGGACGATGTATGTATCGGGCGCCGTGGCCGTTTAAGAGCGCACCGGAACGCTCTGAGCGTGTTCCCGAACTCTTCTGGAACGATTAGTCATCGTCCTAGGGCTGCCTGATGGGTCGGACGACCACGGCCGACGACGACGGCCGACGGCCGACGACGGTCGACCTTCGACGATCGACGGTCGACGGTCGACGGTCGACGACGACGACGACGACGACGACGACGACGACGACGCCGACGCCGACGCCGACGCCGACGCCGACGGCCGACGACCGACGACCGACGACCGACGACCGACGACCGACGACCGACGACGACGACCGACGGGCCGATCGCACGCCGTGCATCCGCGCGCGCGCGCGCCGAGGGCCGCGGTGACCGCCGCGCTCTTCGCGGGAGCGCCCGGCGGCCCCGCCGCTGCGGCCGCCCCCGCGGAGGCGGGGCCGTGGGCCGGCGGCGTGGTGCCCGTGGGCCAGGCGGCCGCGTGGCCGGCCAGCGCCGCGGCCGCCGGTCGTCGCCCCTGTGACGTCGGCGTCGGCCGCCTTTAGGCAGCCAACGCCTTGGAAGACTCGAGCGCTTGGCATCGCTCGGACGCGTGCATTTTTTTGGCGAGGGCCATCGAGGAGCATCCAGGGCTGTCTGGCAAAAAAGCAAAACACGCGCGAAATCGAACAGTGCACGGGGAATGGACGTCCGCCTCAGACATCCAACGCCTCGAAAGACTCGAGCGCTTGGCATCGCTCGGACGTGTGCATTTTTTTGGCGAGGGCCATCGAGGAGCATCCAGGGCTGTCTGGTAAAAAAAGCAAGACGCGCGCGAAGTCGAAGAGTGCACGGGGAATGGGCGTCCCAGCGATGGCGAGAGCGTGCTTTTCCCCACGTTTGGCCCTGGGGGGCCCTCTCGAGGCCCCAGACCGTCAAAGGCGACTTGGCACGAGAAGCCCGTCGGGAATGCGTCGAGACCTCCAGGGATCCCCTACATTTCAGGAGGTCTGGAAGGGATGAGGTATCGAAGACGCCTGCGACGAATCACCGCCGCCCCCTGCCTTCTGGCATCGCCCATGTGGCCGAGTATTGTGGCAAGAGCTCTGCCAAGCTATCGGACCATGTATTCCCCCAGCCGTTGTGGAAACCCTTCGGTGAACATGTGGGGGAGGATGGCGGGGAAGATCAGGAGGAGGAGGAGGAGGAGGAGGAGGAGGAGGAGGAGGAGGAGGATGAGGAGGGGGCATCCTCTGGGGGCAATCTTGGGGCCTCGTGGGAGCTTCCTGGGAGCCTCTTGGAGGCATCCTGGGTGCCTCCTTGCGCCTCTTGGGGGCCTTTGGGATTTTCTCGGAGGCCTCTTCGCCCGTCTTAGGGAGTTCCTGGTGTGACGCCGTCGGAAGCCGTCTTGGGGGCCTCTCTGGACCGACTTGGGGCCCTCTAGGGGTGCTCCAGGCCAGTCTTGGAGGCCATCTTGGGCGTCTTGGAGGCCTCTTAGGCCCTCTTGGGGCCGTCTTGGGGACCTCTTGGGCTGCTCTGGGGCCATCTTGGAGGCCTCCTGGGCGATCTTGGGCCGATCGTGGGGGTCTTCTGGGCCGTCTCGGGCCGTCGAAAGGCCGAAAAGAAACAAATACCATAATCCTCCAAAAAACACATGAAAAGCAACGATTTAAGCCTCTTCGGGCCTTCGTGGAGGCCCTCTTGGAGGCCTCTTGGGCCGTGCTGGAGGCCTCCTGGGGGCCTCTTGGGCCGTCTTGCAGGCTTCTTGGGCGGACTTGGAGGCATCTCGCACCCTCTTGGGCCGTCGTGGAGGCGATCTTGGACCATCTTGGGCGAAATTGGAAGCCATCTTGCACTCTTGGAGGCCATCTTGAGCCGCCTTGGGTTTTTTTTTCTGGACGTTGAGGTGATTTCCTGTCCCTTCCGGTTGGCCGGCGGGATCGGCCGAAGCCCCAGGGGGAGTTCTTATGGAAAAGAACCAAAAACAAAACGTATAGGATTCAGCACTCCAGGCACCTCTGTGGCAAGCCAGCAGGGGGCGGCGGATCGAATGGCCTTCGGCCCATCCCGCCACCGTGCCTGGGTTGTCGGTATGAAGCCTATTGGATGTTCGTTTGGATCGCGTGGGGGGCCTCTCGGGGGCCACTTGGAGGCAGGTTTGAGGCCCCTTGTGGGCCGCTGTGGGGTCCCTTACTCCTCTTTTGGGCCTCCTGGGGGGGCCGCTTAAGCCTGTTGGAGGCCTCTTGAGGGCCTCTTGGGGGCTCTCGGGCGCCTCCGGGGGCCTCCTTTGAGCTTCCTGGGGCGGAAGGCTCGGATTTTCGATCCGTTTTCCATCTCTTGTGCCCTTTCTGGGGCCGTCTTGGCGCCCTCTTGGACCGTCTTGGGCGCCTATGGGGCAGTCTTGGGGGCAGTCTCAGGCCGTCGTCGGGCCCTCTTGGAGGCCTCTTGGTGCTGCGATCTGAGGCCGTCTTTGGGCCCTATTGGAGGCCTTTGGGGCCGTCTTGGGGTGGTGTTGGGGGCCTCTTAAGCCGTCTGGGGGTGTCTGCGAACAGGAATGGCGAGAATGCCATAATCCTTCAAACACCTCAGGAACATCAGCGATTTGGAGGCATCATGGGGGTATCCTGTGCCATCTTGGGCGTCTTGGACCAGCGGCCCCCCCCCCGTCCAGGTCCAGGGGAGGGGGTAGGGGGAAGGGGTAAACCCCTCCCCGAAGGGGAAGAAGGAGGGGTGGAAGAGGAAACTCCCTAAACCACCTACGCCCAGAGGACTGGTGGGATTTGGGGGGTTTCGCGCGCGCGTGCTCGCGAGCACGGCCTGGCAATCTGCAGCGACGCCCAACAAAGCATTGGCCTTTCGGGGCTTTTTGGGACAGCTCCTGGGGCGCCTCGAAGGCTTTTTGGGCCGTAGTGGGGCCATCTTGGGCGTATTGGACAGATCGTGCGGCGATTCGGGGCCCTCTTGGGGACCGTCTGGGCGGCCTCTTGGGGCCATCTTGGCCCCTCTTGAGCCCCTCTTGAGCCCGAACAAGTATTTCCGGAAGTCGCGACTGACCAACGGAGGCACGCGGCAAGCCCCGAGAGATTTACGAATTTGGGGTCTGGGCCCCCAAGAGAATCTTGAGGATGGAGGAGTGAGGCTCAAGTGATCAGGCCAAAGACCTGAGGACATTCCAACTCTTGCCTCAGGGTACGGTCACGGATATGCGTTTTTGGAACACTCTAGGAACATTTCGTGGTAGGCCTATCGGAATGCCGGACGGTCGGTCCTTGCTCAATGGGCTTCGGTGTCGGCTGGGCGCCAGCGGTCGTCGGTCGATGGTCTTCGGCTGCCGTCAAACGTCGCCGCGTCGGGCGTGGCGCCATCTGCGCGGGGGCCGACCCGCCTTCGGAGGCTCTCTGTGGATCGGGGATCGGGGTTCGAGGATCCAGGCTCCAGGATCGGGGCTCGAGGCTCGAGGCCCGAGGCTCGAGTTCCAGGCCTCAGGGATCAATCAATCAATCAATCAATAACGCCGTGTCTGCACGACACATCGGCTGAAGAAGTGCCGCCAGCTGGAGGCGCATGTCCAGACCAGGGCACAGAAATCAAGGACAGTTCAAGAAAAGGTGTACCGGCTGGCGATTGTCCTCCACACGTGCGGGTTATACTGTCCAGGACTGAGAAATTGAAACAAGTCGCTCTCTCGGGGGGAAGGGGCGGGGAGAGGGAGCGCAGAAGGCTCGAAGCTGGCCCTCTTCGAGGCTCTGGAGGCCCCTGGGAGGCCTCGGGGGAGCTGGAGGTAGCTGAGGGGGGAGAAGGGGGGATGTGCGTTTTACTTGGTGGACCCCGTGAGGGCTCATTGTCATCGCGGCTGGATTCGCCTCGGAATATGGGCCAGGACGCACTCATGTAGAGGTCTGGAGGCCGAATTCTCTTCGAGAGAGAGGGAGGGAGAGAGGGCAGAGTGTTGAGATGCCCCTGGCGACACCCGCGTCAGACCCTGCCCGTCGCCGCTGACCAAACAAGTAGAGGTACCGCTGGTCCCAGGTGACTCCAGGTTTTCCAGGGAGGCTCCCGTGGTCCCCAGGCGCCCCGCACGAAATCCAGAGGACGACCTCAACGGCAACGTTGGGGGGGATAGGCTGGGGGGGGGGGATGCACCGACCCCGAATAACAAAGCGCTGCATCAACATACACTTTCGGAAGGCCCTGCGGATTTTTTGGATCGGCGCTGGACGCCCCTGGCAGCTTCTCCTGCGCCGCCCCTAGCGCGCCTCGCGCGCCGCCTTCGGGGAGGAGGGTCAAGCGCCGACCCAAGCAGCAGTTCACGGGTATGCATCTTTGATGCTCCTCTACGCTCTCCCCATCCTACTCTCCCTCGCGTCGCCTTTCAGTCCACCTATTCCCCCTCGCGTCCCCATTCAGTCTACCTTGGAGCAGGGAGTGACCCCCCTCTCCCGCCACGGTTGCCTACTCCTCCCCACCACCCTCCTGTCGCTAAGTGCCGGGTCGTCAAGATACGGAGCAGATATGATTCGGAAGGGGTTTGGTGTTCTTTGGGTGTCTCATGTCGTGGTATGACTTGTCCTCAGGGCACCAGCAGAGAATCCCGACCCATCTTGGAAACAAGTGGTTGTTTGAGGTACTCTATAGCAATCCTTGAATCGTGGCTTATATCTGAAGAGTTCGCGTTCTGCTGCCGTTTCCCCAGGCTGAGCCATCTAGTGGATTCCTCTCGCTTCGCGGACTCCGCATCCAGAGCGACTAAAGTTATGGCGTTACGACCGCAGTTCCAATTCGTCCTTTTCTGTTTACATCCCTTCCTAGACGAGTCTGAGGAATGGTTTTCTGGGACGATTCAGGGTTGTCCAGACGCAGCCGTCACGTTGATTCTTGCCGTCAATGTCCCAGGGATAATGTTTGGGCGCGGTTGAGGATTCTCAGGCGGTTGTCTTTCAACGGGACACTTCCTGCAAGCTAATTCTTGCAGTGGCTTGTGAAGAGGGAACTTGGAGGGAGGGATTATTGCAACATCGTTGAATCGTCTAGGGTTTACGCTTGTCCTCCCCCTTCCCCTCCTCCTTTTTGCATTTCCCCCTCTCCCTCCCATACCTCGTTGATTCGTCTGCGTCCTCCCGTTTCCATATTCTCTTAATTTTCATAATCTGATGTGGTTCCTTTCAGCTTTCCTGCCCCTCTTTCGCATCATTTGTCATCCTCCGTATGTTCCTTATCCTCCTCTTACTCTTGGGGCCCACTCGGCTCCGTCCTGGGTGGCATTTTTGGGGCCTGCTTGATGCCTCTTGGAGACGTCATTGCGCCCCCTTGGGCTGTCTTGGGGCCCGCATGGGCCGTATTGGGCCCCTTTGGGACCTTTTTGGTGGACTCTTGGGTCGTGTTGGGGCTTTCTTGAGCTGTTTTGAGTCCGTCTTGAGGGCCCCTCGGCCATTTGGGGGCCCTCTTGGGTTTCTCTTGGGGGCCTCTGGCGCCATCGTGGAGCCATCTTGGAGACCGTCTGGCTTCCGGAAGCCCGAACAGGCAAGAATTCGAAAGCTTACAGGACGAGTATTGAACATCATATCTGTTAGCGTCTGGGAGCCCGCTTCTGTTGAGCCCCCTCTCCGGTAGCTGTTGTTGACGCGGTGGCCCCCTTCGACTTACATGACACAAAACAGCATTCTAGGAGGAGACTTCACATCATGGCGCTCCCAGAGGGAGATCTCCCGATCCTCCTGAAAGTCGCCTCCCTGTCTCCACACCTCTCTGGGATCGTCTTCTCACCAAATCTGGGCCGGATTCAACCGTGGCGACCAAGAGCCCCCAGTAGGCCTGGAGAAGGCGGAAGACGCTAAATGTTTTTGTCCCTCTCCTCTTTTTATCCGTGCGCCTTGTATCTTGCGACCCAGAATCTCGAGTCCCCAGGCCTTTCGAGCCTCCAAAGGGCAAGTTTCTATACCAAGCCGTTTTTACACGGTCCTGTGTCCCTATGTCGGCTTGTGGGGCTTGAACTAACAACAATCTTCCGGGGCGGACTTCTCGAGCATAGAGGCTTGGGGATGCCGCAGGTGGACAGTTTCCTCGAGTCCACGGCCTCCCTCGTCTTCGACGAGGTGGAGCGCAAGACGCTCGTGCGGTTCCGGCGAGGAGACCCATCCGGCCTGTCCGTGGGCGTCTCCACGATCGGCGCCCCGGGTCTTTGCAAGGGCCGTTGGAGGGTCCGTGCGCGAGTCTCCGATGGTAGTTGGGAGCCCAATGGCGTTGTACTACATCCCGCTGCCGCTTTTCCGAGTTGTTCAGTAAGATTCTTTTGGAAAGACCACGTGGGCTGTACGAGTGGGATGTCCAGTCGTGTTGCGAGGGAGGTTTGGATCGCGTCGGAGGTACACGTGTGGGGGCTGGAAGGGGCCGTCGTGCGGAGTGATACGGGGGGGCGTCCATGTAGCATGTCGATTAGGACATTTCAGGGGGAAGGTCGTTGTGCAGCAGCGCGCTGTGCGTTGATTAGTATTGGCATTCGGCCTTCCATCTCCGCATTCCTTTTGCGTTGTAGGGAGTCACACCCAGAGGGCGTCGTCGTGGCCCTCATCGCAATTTCAGGCTACCTTTTATTCCCTACCTAGGCTCTGCCTAGAAGGGTTCTTACTCGCTTGGCTTAAAGGGGCCGGGCAGTGCAAACCGCCCCAGGCGGTTCCCTGGGAGCCAAGCAAAAGCAACAGCAAAGGTAAAAGCAAACGCGCGGTTCCCCCAGTTGCGCTCCCCGGGTGCCAAGCAAAAGCAACAGCAAAGGCAAAAGTGAAGGCAAAAACGAAGGCAAAGCAAAAGCAAAAGCATAGCATAGCATAGCACAGCATAGCATAGCGCAGCATAGCATAACGCAGCATAGCATAGCGTAGCCTAGCCTAGCCTAGCCTAGCCCAGCATAGCATCGCGCAGCATAGCATAGCATAGCATAGCATAGCATAGCCGAGCATAGCATAGCATAGCATAGCGCAGCACAGCATCCACTATTGCTGCTATACATATGTACTTATCTGTGTGTGTGCGCACGTATGTTCCATGCATGGTGTCCGTCTGTGAGCCATCTTGAGCCCTTAGTGGGGCAGCTTGAGCCAATAGGATTCACGAAGGTTTCGCACATAGCACCGGCCGGGAGGCATGAACCCGACATGAGGTGTAGGTGTAGATGTGGATGTAGGTGTAGATGTAGATGTAGATGTAGGTGTAGATGTATGTGTAGCTGTAGATGTGAGTCTCGCTGTTGATGTAGATGTAGATGTAGATGCAGGTGTATATGTAGCTGTAGCTGTAGGTTTAGATGTAGATGGAGGTCTAGATGTAGATGCAGGTGTCGATGTAGATGTAGGTGGATATATATATATATATATACACATATATATGTAGATGTAAAGAACTCCCCAGTGCCCCGCCCTCATCTCCGTGCCTGCTTGCTTTTGCTGCTGTCTCGGCGACTTGCTGCCTGCCTCTGCTGCTGCTTCACTTACGGCGTGGCGTCGGCGGTTCTGGCGCTACTACTACTACTACTACTACTACTACTACTACTACTACTACTACTACTACTACTACTACTACTACTATTACTACTACTATTACTACTACTACTACTATTACTACTACTACTACCACTACTACTTCTACTACTACTACTACTACTACTACTACTACTACTGCTACTTAGCAGTAGTAGTAGTAGTAGTAGTAGTAGTAGTAGTAGTATAGTAGTAGTAATACTAATAGTGCTGGTGGTGGTGGTAGTGTAGTGGTAGTGGTAGTAGTAGTAGTAGTAGTAGTAGTAGTAGTAGTAGTAGTAGTAGTAGTATAGTAGTAGTAGTAGTAGTAGTAGTAGTAGTAGTAGTAGTCGTAGTCGTCGTAGTCGTAGTCGTATCGTAGTCGTAGTCGTAGTAGTAGTAGTAGTAGTAGTAGTAGTAGTAGTAGTAGTAGTCTTAGTAGTAGTAGTCTTAGTAGTAGTCTTAGTAGTAGTAGTAGTAGTAGTAGTAGTGTAGAGTATAGAGTAGCACTACTACTACTACGACTACTACGACTACTACTACTACTACTACTACTGACTACTACTACTACTACTACTACTACTACTACTACTACTACTACTACTACTACTACTACTACTACTACTACTACTACTACTACTAGACTACTACTACTACTACTACTACTACTACTACTACTACTACTACTACTACTACTACGACTACGACTACGACTACTACTACTACTACTACTACTACTACTACTACTACTACTACTACTACTACTACTACTACTACTACTACTACTGCGGGCACGTGCACCACATCACCACGGCTCAACCGCCTTGGGATGAGCGTCTTTGTGGCTGCCTCATTTCCAGTTTATAGCGAGCACCTGTTCTGGGTGAAATGGCGGGTCTGACGTGCATGCAGCGGCGGGCGCTTATCCGAGGGCAACTGGTCCCTACGGCCCAGAGTAAGCGACAGCGGCGGCACAACAGCACACGGGGCGACCCCAGTACCGCCATCGAGGCCAACGAGCTACTACTGTTACTACTACTGCTACTACTACCGCTACTGCTACAACTACGACGATGAGGAGAAGGAGGAGGACGGCGTTTACCGTTCCTACTAATGTTGCTTTCCTAGAGGCTCCAACTCCTAGGTCGGGTCGCACTGGGATAATTGAAGGATAGGAGGCTCCAGAAAGGGAGGAGCGAGGAGGGAGGGAGGGAGAGGGCGGCGTCGTCGCCGTCGTCGTCGCGGCCGTCGTCGTTCTCGTCTTTGTCGTCTCTGTCGTCGTCCTCTTCCTCTTCCTCTTCCTCCCCAGGGTGTTTTGGCAGGATTGAGGATTCTCATTCGGTTGTCTTTCATGGGCGCACTTCCCGTGACGAATGTAAGCTTTTGCCGGGACCTATGAAGAGGACACGTGGAGACAGGGTTTATCGCAACGTCGTTGGCTCGTCTTTCTCCCCCTCATCCTTGTTATTCTCGACGCCATCGTCCTCGTCGCCCCGAGGGAGGAAGGGCGCGGCGCGGCGCGAGCTCGCGCCTGGCCGCGCGCAGCTCCTCCCAACATCCTCACCACCTCCCCTCTCTTATCCTCATCCCCTGTTCCTCCTCCCCCTTCCCCTCCTTCCCTGCTTCATCCTCTTCCCCCCTTCTCCCCCTCCCTCGCCCCTCCCTCCCGCCGCCCCTGCCCTTGAAACCCAGAGGTTGGAACACTAGCCTGCAGAGCTTCGGGTTCCCTACTTCGGAACCTCCCCGTACAGCATCTCCGCTGTCAGCGCGGCGGCGGCGCCTCAGCTAGGTTGCTTGAGGTCCCTTCGGAGAGGTACGGGCCTTCTTTCGAGGTTCCGCTGTAGGCACTTTCGGCCTGCGAACGCAACAGTTCAAACACGCGCTGCATACGGTAGCCCACCGCGACGAGGTGCAGCTGCTCGGCCTCGCCAGCCTCGCGAAGTGCCATGTCCCCCCGGCGTGGCGGACTACGTGGCTGCTGCCTCGCTGGTGGCCTTTCCCAAAAAGAACGGCGGCCTCCGACAGGTGGCTGCGCGGGAAATTGTGCGGCGCTTGGTGGCAAAGTGCTTGTGCAGCCAGGTATCCGACGCTGCCAGAGACCGCCCCGCCCTTTCGCAGGTGGCGTCGCCCTCCCGGGCGGCTGCGAGACTGTTGTTCACGTGTCCCACTAGGCGCGCGCGCCTCACTGGCAGCAGGCAAAAAGTGCGTGTTCAGCTTGACCTGAGCAGCGCCGTCAACACTCTCGATCGACAAGCCCTCCTGCAAGCCGCGCCCGAAAAACTCCCCGCTCCTGCGCCCAGGGCTTCCTGGTGTTACCCGGTCCCCATCCCTGCTCTGGCGCGGCCGCCACTCGATCCGCTCAGAATGCGGCGTGCACCATGGAGACCCCCTGGGGCCGTTGCTCTTCTCCTTGGCGCTGCAGCGCGCTGCTGAGAGGGACCTCTGTCAACCTGCCCCTGCGGCCGAAGGTGCCTTTGACCTGACCTTCCTTTCCCTCGACGATGGCACCCTGGCGGGCGACTGGCGCGCCGTGGCACGCCTCCTCCATCTGCTGCCTGGAGAGCTGGCAGTCGTGGGACTCCGCCTGAGCACGGGGCCCGGGAGGTGCGAGGTGGTCCCCGCTGGCGGCGACACAAACCCGGCAGCGAGTCGACAAGGCCACCGAGCTCCTCGAATCACTGGGCGAACTCGAGAACGCCCAGGACGCGCTCCACTTGCTGCGACAATGTGCTGATTTCTGCAGATCCAGCTGCTCAGCGAGGGTAGTCCCGCCCACGGTGCTCACGGAAGCACTGGTTGCCTTCGACAGCGCAGTGCGCGCCAGCCTCGAGCAACTAAGTAGCACCGCCCCCACGGGCGACTCCTGGACGCTGGCGCAACTCGCCCTCAAGGCAGGTAGCCTCGGGCTGATTTCAGCGGAGCGGCGCGCGCCCGACGCCGACCTGGCTTCCCGCGCGGCCTGCTCTGCGCTTCGCCGGCAGCTCTGGGCGGGGCGTGCCCCGACGACGACACGGGCGCCGACGGCCGCGATCTCCCTCAACGCTCGGCTCCCGCAGGCGGACAGGATTGAGTTCGACGCTGGATGCGCAGCGACCAGCGGGGCCTCTCTGACAGACTGGACAAGGCCGCACACTGGGAGCGCGCCAGCCTCGCCACCCGGGCCCGCGTCTCGCTAGCAATCGCGGATGGCGCCTGCGGCTGGCCGGCACGGCCTCCCCGCGCGGCCTGATGCAGATCGCCCCGCAGAGGCGCTTGCGGGTGCAGTTCGCGCGCGAGGAGGCCTCCTGCCCGTCCTGCGACGGCGTCCTGAATGTCTACGGGCACTGCGCGCTGGCGTGATCCTGCCACGGGGGCCGCGTGAAGCGGCACGACGCGCGCCGCGACGAGGCCTTCTTCGCCGCGCAGGCAGATGCCTTCCCTGGCACCGAGCACGAGCGCCCGGGCTCGCCGCAGCCCCGCGAGCGAGGGGGGGGCCCGCCAGGGGCGGGGGCCAACGGCTCCAAGCTTGACGAGAGCGGCCGGCGCCCAGCTGGCGCAACGGCGCCCCAGCTGCCCGTGTTTTCGCGGTCGCCTTTGGGCTGCGGGACGACCTGCTCGCGGCCTCGGCAGCCGCGCCGGGCGCCGCCGCCGAGCGTCGCGAGGAGCAGAATCGCCAGT